GGGGGGGGGGGGGGGGGTTCAGTTCTGGGCTCATTTCCTTCAGACTTGCCTCGGCTCCCTACATTTTTGTAGGATGGTCCGGGCACTTGCCCATCTTCATCATTCTTAGAGCCTTTGTTTCTACCATTATACGGATGACTGGCTACTTCTAGCTTCCTCACAGGCCTTCTCTGCCCTTCATACTCAGTTTCTCCTCAGATATGTGGCTCTGGTTGGTTGGTGGGTGAAGGTGGAGAAGTTTTTCCTTACCCCCATTCAATATTTAGTTTATCTTGAGGTGTTGTTCAATTCCCTACTCATTAGGGCTTAACCTTCTCCCCTTCAGTTTAGGGCTATGGAGCTTCTGGTTTGTAGTCTCTCCTCTTGTCATTCTCCCACTGCATGAGAGGTTTTCTCTCTCTCTTCTGGAGACATGGACTGCTCTGAAACCCCTCGTCCCTATTGGTCGTGTCTAAATGCATTGCCTTCAGTGGTTTTGTTAGACCAGTGTAGCATCATTCAGGATCCCTTTGATGACCTTCTTCCTTCCTCTTTCCTTACAGACTGAGTTTGCCTGGTGGTTGGATTGAGATATCCTTGCTATTGTTCTTCCTCATCCAGAATGTTACTATTTTTACAGATGTTTCTCTTTCTGGTTGGGTGCTTACCTGGATGCTTGGGAGGTTTCAGGGTGGTGGACTTTATAAGAGTCCACTCTCCAGATCAATCTCTTGGAGCTCCTCACAGTTTATCAGGCTTTGGTTAATTTCCGACCAGGCCTTCAGAGTCAGTCGGTGATGGTGTATTCTGACAACTGAACAGTGATCTTGTACATCACCAGGCGAGAGGGTACTCAAGTGAGAGACTTCTTGTTTTTTTTACATTGGATCCCCTGTACTGGGCCCAGAGCCATCATATTCTTTTGTTGGCCTGTCATATTCTGGATTCACCCTAATGAGTGGTCACTGGACCCACGGGTGTTTCAGGAGTTCTGTGTCCAGTGGGATGTTCCAAAATTGGATGCCTTTGCCACTTATCTCAATTCTCAGTTTCCAAGTTAAGTTTTGGTCTCCTGTTCCACATCCTTTGGCTGGAGCAGTGGATGCTCTCAGTTAGGATTGGTCGGGTCTATACCTTTATGCCTACTCTCCCATTCGTCTGATTCTCTGGGTCCTTTCCATCATCCAGACCATACTGTTAGTGGCTCCTTAATAGCCAGCTCAGTCGTCATTTTCACTTCTGCGTTGACTACTGGAATCGCATCCTCTTTCTCTCCCTATTTTCCCCACCCTTCTCAGTGAGCCTCAGTCTGGCATGTGTCATCCATCCTTTCCCACACTCATGCTTCATGCATAGCTTTTGTCCAGTCCTTGGCCCAAAGAGCTAGACTATCACAGCATGTGGCATCACTGATTTCTGATTCTGTACTTCCTTCCTCTATGGCAGTGTACCAAAGAAAATGGTATACGTACCATCATTGATCCATACATCGTGGTTATCCTGTGTCCCATTTTACCCTTCCCCACATCACTTCCTTTCTAACCTGTCTTATTGACAGGGGCCTTTGGTTTCTCTGTTGCGGGCTGCCACATGGCTTTCTCAGCCACATTTCATTTTTGCCCATGTCTTCTGTCTGCCGTTCTTGTCCCTTTTGTTCCATTCCCTCCACATCATCTCGCATTGTCTCTCTCCAGGTTGGAACCTCAGTGTCATCCTTCATACTCTTATCCTTCCTATTATTCCTTGGAATCCTTCCCAGTTCATTGACCTTTCTCCCAATACCTTTACGG